AAATTAAAACTTAGGCAGCAGTTTAATTAAGGAATTTAGGGTAACTACATAATCTCCTCTCTCCTCCCTCCCTTTTCTATGTGATCTCAATTAAAATGATGTCTCAAGTTTATGTGTTTAGTGCGTAAGTGAAGAATTAGAGATGTTTATCGCACTAATTTCCAGTAACAATGTGAGTTTTTATTTTCATTTTTTTGCATATGTAGAATATATATGTTGATTCCATCCTAAATTTTTTTTTGGGACTTTTACACTAAGACCCCTTGTGTTTCGATTCCTGGCTCCGCCACTGCACCTAACAATATTCCCTCCCAGGTTCCCAGAGAATGCAGTTTTTTCCTTACAAGCCCCGGCAGCATATCTCAATCATCGTTATGTACATGACAATTTATAGAACATTCTTATATGGAAGGAAGGGAAGGCCATCTCATTCTCCCTCGTCAAACAAAGTCAACCCACGTAACCCTAGTCCATGCAGTGAAGCTGGGAGAACCCAGGTTTGGGTGTTTTGCTTTCAATACGTGCCCATCATACAAAGTAAAGTTGGCATTTAATTATTCTTTCAAATTATATTCTTTTTTTTCTTACCAAAATATCAAAGAAAATGTAAGCAAGTTTCCGAAATTTGTTTGATTTATTTTACTATTTTTGTAAGCAAGTTTCCGAAATTAGCTTTTATTTTTAATTTCCTACTTCATATTGAATTAGGATTTTCGTGGATTTTAGGAATCTTTTATTTATTTTCCTAGGATCTTTACTTTATTAGGTATTTTAGATTTGTTTTGTTTGGCTCCAGTTCGGAAAATGATTTGATTAGAAAGTTGGGAGTTTCACTAAAACACCCAAAATGGGGGCTTAAATTATAAAAAAATTCAAACACTATTTAAACATATAAACACACCCAAAACCCATCATTACACACACTCAAAATCCATTTATAAACACACCCAAAAAGTTGACTTTGAGGTTGATTTTGAGTGTATTTCTATGTTTAAATAGTTCTTGGATTTTTCTATAAATACATTTCTAGGATTGAGTTTATTTATAAATTTGTATAGAAAGTTTTCTGTATTGTTCCTACTTTTTTGGCACTTAATAGAGGATCTGGAGACTTTGCCTTAAAATAAGGTTGATTAGAGTCTGCAGAGGCAAATTAAAAGCTGTGTTGGAAGCCGACATGCACTATTGAATGACAAAATTAATTAAATCTAAATCCTGAAAATGTATTGGGCGGGTTAATTGCAAACGCCGTGTCCAACAACTTGAAGCCAAAGTAACCAACCAACTATGGAAAATATAAATTTGGGACATTGCATTTTAATTTCTCTTCTCAGTTTGATACCCTAATGTGATGCATAGTTAATGCAATGCAATGGAAGGGGATCAAACAAAGAAGCATATTGTGAATGTGAAAAAAAATAAACCATATCAAACTCCTAAGGAGTTTATGGAGAAGTATTAGACTAAATTAAGTTAAGAAGCAAGACCATTGTTTCACATCCTTTCTGGCAACCCGAAGAGAACCATAATGTCATATCGACTAAACCCATAATGTCGCACCGTTGAATATTTTAAAATGTTATTATTAGGGACTAAAAGGTAATAAGCTAAAAGGAAAGCGGGTTGGCCGGTGGCAACAAAATTGGCGCCTCCATAATGTTCTTGATGATTGCTCAAAAGAATGGCTTCCTTATGGGTTGATTAAAAAAAGCATAAATTAAATAGCCCATTGTCATATTTTATTCAACATGTACCTTCTTTGACAAATGCATTTTACCCTACCGTAATAAAAACTATATATATAAATGATATGGTTT